CTCGCCCTCGCGCCACTTGCATTTGTTTTGAGCATTTGCAGCATTTCCCGAGATTGGGGGGGAGGCGTTTTCAAAATGGATCTCTCGCTGTGGCGCTGGGCGCATTTGCTTTACAGCTTAGCAGCAGTTGCACGTATGCACGGGCATAGTTTTCAACATGGACTTCTCGCCTTCGTGGCGCGCGCATTTCGTTCAACGGTTGCAGCGGTCACGGGGATTGAGGACCGGGGGCGTTTGCAAACCCGGGCTCTCGCCTTAGCGCCGCGCACATTCGTCCTGCCCGTTTTCAGCCGTTACAGGGATGGAGGGCGTTCAATTTCAAAACGGAGCTATCGCCTTGGCACCGCGAGCAATTGTCTTAAACGTTTCCAGCAGTCACGAGCATGGGGGAGGGGCCATTTTCAAAATGGAGCTATCGCCTTGGCTCCGCGAGCATTGGGTTTAACAGCTCGCAGTAGTTACAGGCATCGGTTCCCTTTCAACATGGGGGTCCTCGCTTGAGACCTGCCAGAAGGTAAATATTGTAGCATCGAATATCTGTATCACGGACGGTGTCTGGCGCCTCTTTAAAAGGATGGTTATCGCTTCAGATTCCATCGAAGTCCAATAGATCAGAAGTGCAACATTGTGCAGCCGTTCTACATACAGAGGGCGGTCCCTTTCCATCATGGGGATCTCGCTGGGCACCTCGTTGAACTGTATGGTCATGCCATTTTCGCACTCCTCCTTACTCGTTGGCAGGAAAACTGGGCTCTCGCTTGATGGCAGGCCACAGGGTGCGAATGTTTCAAGGGGGCGCTTCTGGTAATGAGATGAAATCAATGAACTTGTGAGAAGGAGAGATGGCACGGTAGGTTGTATTGCAGCATGGCTTATGTTGCCTGGGTTTGGTCTGGCCTTTCTCCTCCTCTTCCTCCTCCTCCTGCTTCTTCTCTTTGTCCTCCTCCTGCTGCTACGCATGAACAGCCACGCTTTATGCTGCTACATGATGTTCTGCCCGTCGCAGGGTGTTTATACCCATGATTATGCCTGAAAATCTGCGTGGGTCTCTGACTCTCGCTTCTACCTTTTTCGTCACCCGGTGCGTCCCATGTCATGGTTTCAAGTGTCCTTCCACCGCTCCATCTCCCCATCGCTTCCTCTTCATCTCTCCCTCTCCATTTTTCCTAATCATTTTCCCTCACCGCATCTCTCCCTCCCTTTCTACCTCGCTTTCTCTCTCGCTCTCCCTCTCTGTTTCCCCTCGGCCGAAAACCTCCCCAACGCATCCAAAACCAAATACGACAGTGCACCATCGCAGATACCACTTGTAGTTATCCGAAACAACTGAGCATTTCTGTCCATTCCGCGGCGAACCAACGAGGAGGACCAGGAGGATGACGAGCAGGAGGAGCAGCAAGAGGAGGGAGGGCGGGGGGACGAGGATACGGATGAGGGAGGAGCGGCGAGGGATGATTGAGGGAGGAGGGGGCGAGGGAGGAAGGAGATGGAGCAGGACGAATAGGATGAGGAACAGGGAACTGGCAACATGGGATGGCGATAATTGCTTCAGGCGTTGTTCGGCTCGTTTTAATGTTGCCAGTGATTCTGTGGTAGGCTGGCCACACCATTGCTACCCTCACGTTTGCTTTTGGATGGATCTCTATCGGCCACTGATGCATCTGATGTATGACTGATGCATGTCCAAATTGCTCGACGGGCCACGTTTGTATCGCTCTATTGCGCGGCGTGCAACATTGTTCTGCTGTCGATTGAATGTTCAACGGCACGGGGGTGCAAACATTGCTTTTTCGAATGGGTACACGTTTGGCACATCCTTGCAGTAACGTTACAGTATTTTTGTTATATTGCCCATGGTTGGCACTTAATTGCAAAGTGGCCTTCGGCTCACCCCGCGACTGTGCCTGAAGTTTGGATCTGCTCATCTCTTCGGAGGCCTCTTGGGCGCCTCCTGCGGGCCTCTTGGTGGCTTCTTGGTGGCCTCTAGGGATCCCATTGGGGCAATCTTGGGCGCAATTGCGCGGCCTGCTGGCCTTGTATCCTGAGGTGGAGGGCTTCAGGGGTCAGTTCGAGTTCCGCTTTTGTGGGCCTTTCTTGGGCCCCTCTTGGCGGCCTCTGTGGCCCTTCGTGGGAGCGTGGGAGACATTTTGGGGCGCTCGCCTTGGGCCTCTTGGGCCGTCCTGGACGTCTTATGGCCGAAGCCGCAAGACTGGTATAATCATACAAAGCGTACTCTTGGGTTCACTGAATTTGGTTTCTTGAGCCGCCTTCCCCCCCGAGGGTCTTCAAGGTGACCCATGAGGCCCTCAAAACAGTTCCAGGGCGGTCCTACCAGGCATTCGTAGGATACGTCGGAAATGTGGGCTCCAAACGAGGCTCCCGAGACTTTTGGAAAAGCCACGCGACAATCTCCAGGATCTTCCAGAAATGCCTCCAACTTCCGTCAATATTGTTTTGCAACGTTCGATATCGAGGGCTCCGGAGGGACCTGGAGAGGCTTCACTCAGTGCCTAAAGCACGGAAGCAGATAGGCGGGCATTTGTGATTTGGCTCACTTTGGCTTGCAGGAAGGCGGCGGTGCGGGGAGGTCGTGCCCTCCTCCTCCTCCTCCTCCTCCTCCTCCTCCTCCTCTTCCTCGTCGTCATCATCATCATCATCATCATCATCACTATCATCACAGTTATCACCATCATCATTATCATCATCAGCATCGCTGTCATCATCATCATCATCACCATCATCACCGTCATCGTCATCATCATCAGCATCAGCATCAGTATCACCATCATCATCATCATCATCATCATCATCATCATCATCATCATCATCATCATCATCATCATCATTATCATTACCAGCGTCATCATCATCATCATCAGCATCACCATGATCATGATCATCATCACCATTATCGTCATCAGCATCAGCGTCAGCATCGGCATCATCATCGCCATTGCCATCGCCATTGCCATCACGATCATCATAACCATCACCACTATTGCCATCGGCATCACCATCATCATAACCGTCACCATCACCATAACCATCATCATAACCATCATAACCATCATCACCACCATAACCAACATCATCATTATCATCATCACCACCATCATCATCACCACCGCAGTCATCAGCCCTCGCCCTTCTGGCTCAAGTCCCCATTTGGGCTTGAGAGGCTTTGCAGAAGCGCCAGCTGCCGCCGGTGTGGACGGCCCGCCGATGGCCAAGGGGAAGGCGCCCGTGGGGAGAGACGCTCCCGGCCGCGGCGCCAGAGTCCAGCGGATCTTCCCTGCACCGGGGTCGGGCACGCCCAAGCGTAAGCCCGCCAGTCGCAGCGCGCTGGCGCAGCGCACCTCCCCCCGGCGGGTGCGGGCGGCCAGCACGCTCAAGCAGCAGGCTGCGGTCGGCGCCAGCGCTGGCAGCTTCTCGCACGGCATCGTTCTGGCGGGGCCCGCGCGCGCGAGAGTCGCGGCGGCGCCCCGGCGCGGGGCGCCTCCTGCAGGCACGCAGGCGACGTCGTCGCCCTTCCTAGGATTCTCCCGGCCCACGCCAGGGGATGTCGTCAAGCTGCACGGTGCGCTGGCGAAGCTGTTTGGCGAGAGGCGCCCGGCCAGGCGGGGGCGCCGGCGGGAGATCTTGGACACGGTGGTCGGCACCATCTTGTCGCAGAACACAACGAACGTCAACTCCCACCGCGCCTTCCAGCAGCTCAAGGCGCAGTTTCCCTCGTGGGAGGACGTGCGCACGGCGAGGCCTTCGGACGTGGCTGCGGCGATCAAGTGTGGCGGCCTCGCCCCGAAGAAGACGAAGTGGATCCAGCACATCCTTCGGACGGTGCACCGCGAGCGCGGAGAGGCGTCCCTCGAGTACCTGCGGAGGATGTCGAAGGCCGAGGTGCACCAGGACCTGGAGCGGTTCGTGGGCATCGGCAAGAAGACCTCCGCCATCATAAACCTCTTTGACGTGGGCCATCCAGACATGGCGGTGGACACGCACGTCTTCCGGTACGCGCTGCAGTTGGGCTGGGCGCCGTCGGAGGCGGAGCGGGCGTCTCACAATGCCAAGGCGACGCGCAGCGAGCGCTGGCCACAGGTAACTCGAGACAGTGTCTACACGCACTTGGATGCAGTCTTCCCCGACCACCTCAAGTACTCCATGCACCTCATTCTGACAGACACTGTGGGCGGCTTGCCGGTTGTCTGCGGCGCTGGCAACACGCTCGGCTTCAGCAAGAATAGGGTCTTTGTCGATGGAGTAGCCCTGCGTTCGCCCCCTATAGCGTGAAGCCCAGTCTGCTCGCATGTTGGGGTCATTGGTTCGCATGTTGTTCAGCGGGATGGGGCCTCGTCTGCAGATCAGCTTTTAGAGGCATTTGTTCCTGGTCTCCTCCGCGCGTTTTTTGTTTTTCACTGGGCCTCGAGGATGACCAGCCTTGACTTGAATTGTAGGCCCAGTCTCAGAAGCATGGGCGACGCTTTGGTAGCATCATCGTTTCAATGCGTAGTTTGGGAGTCGCACCTGTTTTTTGCTTACTCAGTTTTCACATGCGAGCCAGTCTACTTGTTCTTGACGGTTCTAGCGATCGTTGTTATTTTCGCAATGTATTGGTGTGCCTGGTTGAAGGGGTCTTCTTCATCATCATCATCATCAGCATCATCAACATCATGTATTGTCTCATAGAGCCTCCTTTCCTTTTCGGGTCTTGTGACCGTCGTGATCCAAACAAACAAAAATATCCAGAGTAAGTTACAGGCGTTCGGTGGCAGAGTAAGGCGCCTGTTCTCCTGTCGGAATGCGGCGCGACCGCAAGAGCTGGTCTTGGAGACTCGAGTTCGCGCAAGAGAAACGCGCGTTATCATCCACGCTTCGAGCGGACATTGCAGAGTCGTCGGTCGGGCTGTGTGCTTGGGACTCGCTGTGCGTGTGTGGCACGGTCGGCCAAACACTCGAGCACCTGCGCAATCTCCTGGCTCAGCACTGCGGGATGAGGGCGCGAGGTGTTCGTGGCCGCCAACTCCAACGCCGTCCTGCGGCTGGTCAACATGCAGAACGGCACGGTGCTCCAGAAACTGAAGGCATGCATGGGCTGGGGGGAAGAGATGGGAGACAAACCACAACACCCCCGACGCCGTTTCTTGTGCGCGTCCAATCCGTGGCCCCCAAAGTCCTGGCCTCTGCCCCGTGGCCTTTTTTCATCCTGTATCGTGCTTTGACGGCCTCAGAGCTGGACAATGTCCCCATGCAGTCCGAGAGTTGTGAATCACATCTGTTGTTGTTTTCCGTTCCACAGGTCCTGGGGTTCAGAGGGTTGGGAGGACAGGTGAACCAGCGGGCATGGGAGGGGGGAGCGCAGAGCAGATGAGGGAAGGCTTCGGACCCTCAGGCTGCGAAACTGTTGAGAACATCCATCATCGATAAGAACAAGCGTCAGGAAGGACGGCCCTTCCAGGATGGAGGTCGACTCTCCACTTTGGAGTTCCTCGCGCTCCTGGGGAAATACGGGGCCCAAGAGCATAACCCCCCCTCCTCCCCATCCCAGGAAAGCGGATGGGGAAGAGGAAGGTGGAGGAGGGAGTGGAAATGGATATGGTGGTGTATATTCTTGGAGGAGGAGGAGGAGGAGGAGGAGGACCCGCAGGAAACGATGAGAGGAGGCCAGGCGATCGGCGTGCAGGAGAGAGGCCCCCCATGCGCAGGGTCCTGAGAGCCTCTTGAGGGGGGCCCATCCCGGGCCCGGGGACCGCCCACAGAGGGCCGAGGAGGAGGAGGAGGAGGAGGAGGAGGAGGAGGAGGAGGAGGAGGGCGTGTGGGGTGGCACTCCCCGAAACGAGGAGGCGCAAACGTGGAGCAGGGCGCACGGATTAGCGACGGGCCCCGCTCGTTTCGATTCCTCCGATTCTATTCGTTTCGATCTCGATGGCTTCCGATTCCGATCCGATTCGACTTCGGATTCCGATCTGGATCCCGATCCCTCACTGGAGGCATACCAGCCTGCCGACTTTCGCCGATTCGACTTATCCCGACTCGGCTGCCGATATCTGCCGATCCGATTCATTTCGATCGCCGATTCGACTTGTCGATTCGATTGTGGGCTCTCCTGCAAAGGGCCCCGGGGTGAGGAACCGATCCAGGGAAACGCCATAGGCTCCAGGACCCGCTTTCCTTCTGGCACCCTGTCTGTCCAGGGCCACCCCCCCTCCCAGGGGCCACTGGAGGACGCAGGGCTCCCAGAGATGACGAAGAGCACCCTGAAACCTCGATCCTCTTCCTTCTTCACTTGTTCCGCCTCCTCTTCTTCGTTGTCCCCCCCTCCGTTGTGCCCAGGAGGAGGGGAGCAGAGGGCTGTCGAGTGGAGGCCAGGGGAGCGGAAGGGGGGTGGAGTTGAGGAAGGGATGGTGCGGTTGCCGAGAGGCAAGGTGGGCTGGAGGGGAGAAGACGAACCCCCTCTTCTTTCTCCTCCTTCTCCTCCATATCGTCGATGTCCACGTCGCAATCGTCGTCTTCCTCCTCCTCCCTCCCTCCCTCCTCTCTCCTCCTTCCTACTCTCCTCCTTCCTCCTCCCTTCCCCCTTCCTCCGCCATTCCTTCTCTCCTTTTTTCCCATCATCGAGGACCAGGGCACTATCGGCGAGGCCAGGGCTGCAGAGGGTGCCAGCGAGGCGAGACACATGGCTGATGGCATCGGACGGAGGAGAGCAAGCGCAGAGAATGCATGGGCGACGGAGAGGGATGGGCAGGAGTTTTGGTGGGATAGCGATGATCATGTTAGTGGTGGTGATGGTGCAGCAGCAGATGCAGATGAATCTGAAGATGCTGATGATGGTGATGATGGCAATGCTCGTGGTGGTAACGATTTCGCTGCTGCTGATGATGACGATGACGACGACGATGACGATGGCGATGCTGCTGCTGATGATGATTCTGCTGGTGATGCAGATGATGATGGTCGCGGTGATGATGATGACGATGTTGATGATGCTGATGATTATGATGATTGCGGTGGCAATGGCGATGGCTATTGCGGTGACGAGGGCGATAACGTCCAGGGCGACGATGACGGCGATGACGGTGATAACAACGGCGATGACCTCAATGCCGACGATGGTATTGATAATCACGATGACGATACCAACGACGCTGACAGGCATGTGGATAGTATGGACGCTTGCGCTGATGATGGTGAGGAAAATGCAGGTAAGTATGAGCACGATGATGACGATGATATGCCGCTGCTGCTGATGATGATGCTGATGGTAATGATGACGGTCTTCACGACGCTCACGATGGTTACCATTACGAGGGGGCGGTTACCGATGATGCTGATGATGGACACCACTACCATGATGCTGATGATGATGATGATGATGATGATGATGATGATGCTGATGATGGTCTCACTGGTGGTAGCTCTGAGGGTTAGACGGATAATGATGACGTGGATGATAATGCTGATGACGGTGATGCTGATGATGATGGTGATGATGCTGATGTTGGTGGCTGTGATGTTGATGATGATGCCGGCGATGATGACGATAACGATGATGATGATGATGATGATGATGATGATGATGATGATGATGATGATGATGATGATGATGATGACCACCATCATCATCATCATGATGATGATGCTGATGATGTTGATGATGATGATGCGGATGTTGCCGACGACAGTGATGATTATGAGGATGATGGGGAGGAGGAGCAGGAGGAGCATGATTGTGATGGTGACGGTGATGGCGAGGGTGATGATGAGGATGACGATGATGCTGCTGCTGATGCTGATGCTGATGCTGATGCTGATGCTTTTGCTGCTGCTGCTGCTGATGATGATGATGATGATGATGATGATGATGATGATAGTGACGGCGATTGTGAAGCTGATGAAGATGGTGCTGATGATTTAGAGGATCCTTCTGATGCCGACGACCGTGATGATGGTCGTGATGAGTGAGCAGGAGGTTATAGTAATGAAGAGGGAGGATGGATGAGGCAGGAGGCAGGATGGAACAGACAGGACGGAAAAGGGAGGAGGGGGAGGAGGGGGAGAAGGAGACGAAGGAATCTCTTGCCTTCTGATCCCTTCCACGCCCTCACCCCGTTCCTCCATTTCCACCGCTCCACGCCACTCCCCTTTCCCTTTCACAGTCTTCCTCCCTTCCTCCCGTCTCTCTCCCTTATCCCTTTTCCTGTTTCCCCTCATCCCGAGATCCGACGTCGTGAACACATATCAAGACGTCGCAGAACTGACGATCGGAGCTCTCGAGCCTATCTTCGAGCCGTATTTCTTTGGATCGATCTCTGAGGGCCATGGGGGCAGAATCTGGCGAACGCTCACTTCCCTCCCCCCCGTTGCGATCCCCGGGACTGATGTCTCTGGAAGTGCTCCGAGATACCCAGAGGCCCCCAGTGTTCCCGCAGGCTTTCTGGGGTGTCACCCAGGGCCAAGAGCGCCCACATACTTGATTCCTCCTCCTATCTCCCAGTGCCTCCTCCTCCACTTCCTCCTCCTCCATCTCCGTCCTCTTCTTCTTCCCCCTCCTATCCCCAGGAGGGAGGGACGGACGGAGGGAGTGAGGAAGAGGGAGGGGGAGGAGAAGGAGGAGGAGGAGGAGGAGGAGGAGGAGAAGGAGGCGTGGAGGAGGAGGAGGAGAAGGAGGAGAAGGAGAAGGAGCGCCAGGAGGGACCAGTATCGCCGAGGCCGGGTGGGTAAAGGGAAGGAAGGACAAGGAGGCGAGTATATGAAGTATGGGCGAGGAAAAAAACTCCATCCATATTTCCTGGTCCCTTGCCCTTCCCTTTCCCTGCCCTCTACCCACCCGACCTCGCCGGTACTGGTCCCTCCTGGCTCTTCTCCTTCTCCTCCTCCTCCACGTGTCCCCCTTCTTCTCTTCTCTTCTTCTTCTTCTTCTTCTTATTCCTCTTCTCATTCATTATTATTTATGTTTCTTCTTATTTTTGTTATTGTGAATTGTTGTTGTTGCTGTTGTTGCTGCTGCTGCTGTTGTTGTCATTGTTGTTGTTATCATTTGTATTGTTATTCCTCCTCCTACTTCCCCTCTTCCTTTCTGCTTCTTCCCTTCTTTCTTCCTGCTCCTTCCTCCTCCTCCTCCCCCTCCTCACCGCCTCCTCCTCCTCCTCCTCCCCCCGTGGTCTCGAGAGCCCCAGGTGGAGACCGAGGTCCGCGCGCTGCAGTTCGACGACACCGGCCTGCACCTCTTCGCGGGCACCAAGAGCGGCAGGACTGCGGGCCTCTTCTCTCTCGGGTCGGACTCGCGATGCTCTCCTCGCGCGCCCTCGGCGACGCGGCTGCCCTCGCGACGGCCCTCGCGGCGGCCTTCGCGGCGGCCCTGTGTGGGCCCTTCGGCGGCCCTTTGGCGGCCCCTCGGCGGCCCTTCGGCGGCTCTTCGGCGGCCCTGCGGCGGCCCCTCGGAGAGAGAGAGCGCGGAGAGGGGGCTTCACCGGGGGGGAGGGTGAGGGAGGCCGACTTCAGAACGCTTTTCAGACACGTCTGACAGTCTGACAGCCGCCGAAGGCCTCCTCCTCCTCCTCCTGAGGGTGTAAGGGGCTAGTAAGGGATCAGGCGAGAGGTGGAGAGGAATACAGACATGAGGAGGGGAAAGGTCGCGCGGCCCCCTTGGAACACTGCGAAGGTGGCGTAGGGCGGCGGAGATCAAGAGGGGAGGTGGATGGGGGAGGATGGGGGGCCTGATGACAAGGATGACGCCGAAGATGATGAGGACGATGATGGCGATGATGACGACGATGATGCTGAGGGTGTTGGCGATTACGGCGCTGACAATGCTGGAAAGATGATGGTGGCGAGTATGATGATGCTGCAACTGTTGCCGCTGCTGATCATGCTGATGACCATGGTGATGCGGTTTATGATTGTGATGCTGATACTGGCAACGTCAATGATGACGCTGCTGATGATTATGATGATGCTGCTGATGATGAGGATGATGGTGATGATGATTATGCTGCTGCTGCTGCTGCTGATGATGATGATGATGATGATGATGATGATCATGCTGATGATGGGGATGACGACGATGACGATGATGATGAAGATGCTGAGGATGATGATGAGGATGCTGGGGCTTACGATGATGACGCTGAAGACGACGATGATGATGAGGAGGACGAGGAGGAGGGAGAGGAGGAGGAGTAGGAGGAGGAGGACGAGGAGGATGACGAGTACAACGTGGGCGTGTATTACGATGACGATTGAGGATGACGATGACGGTCATGCCGATGACGTTGGCGATTATGGTGATGACGTTGACGATGTTGCTGACGATGAGCAGGACGAAATGACGATGACGATGCGGAGAACTATTTCGGTGATATTTCGAAGAATGAGGGTGACGATGACTAGGATGACGAGGGAGATGACGACGAGGATGACCAGGATGGGGATGATGATGATGATGATGATGATGATGATGATGATGATGATGATGATGATGATGATGGCGATGATGATGCTGCTGCTGATGATGATGATGACTAAGGTGGTACTGGTACTGCTGTTTCTACTGCTGCTGATGCTGATTGGGATGCTAAGTATGCTTAAGGGTACTGAGGCAAGACAACACACATAAAACACCTGATGATGACGATTGTAAGGATGAGTGTGAGGAGGACACGGGGGATACGATGACGAGTAGTCAGATTATGTAAACGAGGATGATGATGTGGATACCTAGGTGGAAGATGGCGAGGATGCGGTGGACGTAGATGTGGACGTGGACTGATGACGAGGAGGAGGAGGAGGAGGACGAGGAGGAGGAGGACCAGAGTAAACCCAAGATGCACCAAGGACGTGGCAAGACAACCTCCCTGCCCGTGTTACTTCCTCACAAGTTCCTACACACTTTCTTGTCCACTTCCAGAGGCGCCCCCCTCGAAAGACCAGCGCCTCGTGGGCCTGCCATTCAGACGAGAACGCGGTTTCATCAAGGAGCTCATTGCCTTGCATCCCTCCAGCGAGTGGTAGGGAGTGAGTCAAGGCATGATCATACAGTTTAACGATGTGGCCAGCGAGATCCCCATATTGAAGCAGGACCACCCCCCATCGGTGTAACTCTTGCACACTGTTCGACTTCTGTCATTGAGTGCGGAGTAGGCCCTGAAGCGTGACTTCTAATGTGACAAGGAGCGTCACATCAAACTTAGGGTCTTTGGATTCAGTCAAGTTCCAAGCGAACGCCCAATCTTGAAAAGGAGACGCCCGTCACCCGTGCAGCTCCTGCATCTGCTCAAGGCACTGGCCCCTAGCTTAAGCAGGCCCCAGGCGACCGTGCAATGCTGAGCAGGAGCCGCCCTTCATCCGTGCAGGTGTTACATCGGTTCAGAACCCTTGGCCAGTTCATTTAGAGAAGCTCCGAGCGAACCTCGCACTTTCAAAAAGGAACCGCCCACCATCTGCGTAGCCGCGGCAAGCGTTTAGGGCGAATGCGCGGTGGTAAGGAAGAACGCCCCATGTTCAAACGCAGTCGTCTTCCATCACCAGAACTGTTGCAGACGTTTGAGGCGAATGTGCGCGGCGCTAATACGAGAGCCCTATTTTGAACACGACCTGCCCTCCATCCATGAAACGGTTGCGAACGTTTAAGACGGTTGCGTGCGGTGCTAAGGCGATAACCCCTTGTCCAGCACGAAACATTCCATCCTTGAGACAGTTTGCAAACTTTGACGAGTGTGCGCGACGCTGAGGCGACCGCCCTCCATCTTTTAAGCTGGTGCACATGTTTAGGACGAATGTGCGTGGCGCTGAGGCGAGATGTTCGTTTTTGAAAATGACCCCTGTTGTCCATTGAAACGGCTGCAGTTCCAAGTTTCAGAATCACAATGGTGAGGGGATCTCATGCGAAATGCCCTGCCCGCCCTACCGACACGTCCGAGGAGTTACTTAGACGGGGAAGGCATGGAGAAGGCGAGGTAGGAGAAGAAGGCGGCAGGAGGATGGTGGTAAGGAAGAACGTGAGTTGGTGGATGAGGAGGAGGAGGTAGAGGAGAAGAGGGCGGATGATGACTAGAAATCGGATGATGAGGATGAGGAAGCAGAGGAGGGAAAAGAGAAGCATGTGGCTTTGGATGGGGATGAGGAGCAGGATGAGGCGGAATAGGAGTAGGAGGAGGAGGAGAAGGAGGAGGAGGAGCGATATAGAGATTATTTCATTTCCTATTCTCCACTCCCCTTGTCCTTCTCCCCCTGCCCCTTGGCCGCGATTGCAGCAGGATGATGAGGACAACAGAGGAGGAGGAGGAGGAGGAGGAGGAGGAGGAGGAGGAGGAGGAGGAGGAGGATAAGGAGGAGGAGGAGGAGGAGGAGGAGGAGGAAGCAAGATACTTAGGAGCAGGGCAAGTAGGACGAATGAGGAGGACGAGGAGGAGGAGGAGCAGGAGGAGGAGGAGGAGAAACATAAACGAGGAAGCATTACGTAGGGTCCCTCACTCATTGGTCGCCATCAGAAGGGGTCCTGACTTCGGACCCTGGGACAATCAGAAAGCAGCTCGGGACAGACTGGCTCTGGGGAAAGCCCAGGGGTCCAGGACCTGCTTCTCTCAGGACCCCTTGAACCCCACGCCGAATTATCAGGAAGCTGGCACACACCTTGGCCGGCCTGGGAGAGAGCTGGATGCACATGTGGTTGCACGTCCTCCAGCGCTCGTAGTCTTCTACGGGCGGAGAGGCCAGTTGGTTCTCCGCAGGTGTATCCAGCGCGTGACCTCCACATGTGCCACACGTGAATCCAGCCGCGTGTAATTGGAGGCTTGTTGGAGGCCGCCGTACTGTGGGCGGGCACCGCCTGAGTGCGCCGCCCGCGTTCCTCCTTCCTCCGCGGCCGCCCTCATCTTCGCTTCGCCCTCTTCTGTGTTTTGACTCGCCGTCTCGCGTCCCATTATTCGTTCGGACGCGTCGTGCGACCGCCAGCGCCGCGACAGGAACAGCTTCCAGCTTCCGGATCATGTCCCGCAGGGGCGCGAGGGGCACCGCGCTTCGCGGTTTGGACTGGAGGGCTGCGCTTCTCCACTGAGGGGCGGCGCGAAAGCTCGGAGCGCGGCTCCGCGCTCCGAGCGAGCTCGGACGGCCTGGCTTTCAAGGATCGTCTCCGCAAGACTCTGACCGCAGCGGCTCGAGGGCTCCGCTCGCGAGCGGGCGTCAGCCAGGTGTCAGGTCTTCGCGGCCGCCGCTGCCGCCCGCGCTGCCGTGCTCTTGCCTTTGCTGCTGCACCTGCAACCGCTGCCGTGGTCTTCGCTGCTGCCGTGGCCTCTGCTGCTGCTGCTGCTCCTCGCCTCCTCCTCTCGGTAGCCTCTCGGCTCAAGCTGTCCAGCCTGGAGGCTCAAGAGCCGGCTATGCCGGCCCTGGGCCAGGCATGCGATGGGCATGGCTCGCGGCATTTGCCGTCCTGGGCGTGCTGGCCGTCATGCTGCCCCTCGGTCTGAGGCAGATGGACCTGGCCTCCGACCAGGGTGCGCAGTTCTCTGTCGCTGCAGCCCTCGGGGCCCAGTCGGAGCAGGGCGGCCGTCTCGCGCTGTTGGAGGCCAGGCTGGACCAGGCCATCGCGGCGCAGGCCCAGCGCGCCGACAGGCTCGAGCAAGAGCTTGTGGCGCTCAAGGAGCAGCGCGCTCCAGCGGGGCCCGGGTCTCCCATCAGCGTGGATGGCGTGGTCCTGCCGCCTGTCCCCATGGACCTGCCGCCGGTCCCCAAGGCGCCGTCAATCAGCGTTGACCTGCCGCCAGTCCCCAAGGGCTTGAAAGGGACGAGGAGCATATTGGAGGTCGCTGCGAAGGTCGAGACGGGCGACTATCACAAGCTGAAGGACACCAATTTGACGACCTGCTCGGTGCGGGCTGCCGCCAGGCCCGTGTGGGGACCTGCGCAGCCCATTCAGGAGCCAGAGACGCAGCCATGGCCCGCCGACGCCCGCGGTGCCATCGCCACGAGCTGGTCTGGGCCAGACAGGGAGCAGTGGATTTGCCAGTGGAGGACGCTGCAGGAGTACTGTGCAATGCACGGGTACACTCTGTACCCCATAAACGACACGGACGAGTGGCAGGCGGAGCGTTTGAGCTCAGAACTCTCGGCCCACTGGTTAAAGATTCAGGTGCTCAGAAAGCTGCTGCTGAAGCACCCGTGGGTGTTGCACATGGATGTCGATGCGATGTTCCCCGATGTGGCGAGCTCGCGTTCAGTGGAGGACGCGATGGGCAGCGCCCTCAGCACCAAGTCCCTAATCGTCACCGAGAGGAGGCAGTGGAACACCGACACCGTCTTCATCAGGAGCTCGGCCTGGGGGCGCAGGTTCGTGGAGAACGTCTGGGAGCTCCGGCACGTCTGCCCGCACTGCATCGGCGAGCAGTGCGCCCTGGCCCTGGAGGTCCTGAGGGGCAACGATATGGGGGGAACAGCTTAGGGGGGGAACGTTGACTGGAGTCGGCGATACATCGCCGATTGATCGGCGATAGCCCCCTGATAGCGAAATAACGCGTTCGGGGCGGGGTGGCCTATCAGGCCCCTATCGGCGATCAATGGGCGATCGGGGGTCGACGAATTATTCCCCCCTGAGTCTATCCCCCCCCCTCACCGTCTGCCCCTGAGGTCCTGAACAGCGTCATCGGCCACCACCTCGACATGGGCAACGCGGACAGCAGGACCATCATGCCCTACGAGGGCTGGTCCTGTTGCCTGCCGCGGGCGCTCTGCGAGTGGCCCCTGACGCGGAAGAGCGGCCCCAAGTCCCCCGCGGGCGGCCACCAGAACCGCAACGTCTTCTACTGCACGGGTGCCTGGATGACCGAGTACTTCAGCAAGGGCGGCGGGCCAAAGGGACCAAACCGCAAGGACCCGCCGCTGGAGCCGGCGCCCAAGAACGACCACCCGCACATCCTCTTCTGGGAGCATTTCCGCAGGTCACTAGGGATCCGGCACCCCTCGAAGACCCGCACGTCGTGCGAATGCTTCAAAGTTCGTGTCCACAACGAGACGGCCGAGCAGGCGTACAAGAGCTGCAGAGACTGGAAGCGGTAAAACAGCTCGAACGCTGCTGCTGCTGCTGCTGCTGCTGCTCCCACTCCTCATCACCCCCTTCTCGCAGCGGCATGGGTCGCCGCATCTTCTCTTTCCTCCTCGTCTCGAGGAAGAAGTCCGCCGAGCATACATTTCGCAGTTCCTTGCGGATTTCTTGGATCGGCGCTGGACCCCCTCCCTGGCGGCGCCTCTGGCGACGCCCCTTGTGCGCTCCGCGCGCCAGGGAGGGGATTCCAGCGCCGATCCTAGAAATCCGCGCGGAGCTCCGATGCTTATGTTGATGATGCAGGTCTTTCTTCTTCCATCGTCGTCGTCCTTGTCCTCCACCCCCTAATTAGGCAGGGGATCTATCCATCGTCCTCGTGCTTTCCGAGGCAGGGCATCTATCCACAACCACTGTCTGGGGGAGGGGCCCCAGCAGGCGGCGGACATTCAGGAGGAAAAGAAACACACAGACACAATTCATCGTCGATTCCCAGAAAATATGGGAAAATATTGGAAGTGGGGGAGAAGACAGAAGCCCAGAAGTTATAGGAAAATATGGGGAATCTTTTTATTTGTGTCTATTGTTTTGTGTGTACTGGGGCCCCTTCAGATATGGACATGCTCGGGCTCGGGGGGGCCATGTATATAAATGTCCACCGCCTGCCGAGGCCCCCGAATCCAGGAAACGCAAACATGGATCGTCGGCGGCGAAATCCGAACCCCTACCCTCGCCGATCAACGATTCAAGCAAAAACGAAGAGTAGATGGTTGGTGAGGGTAGGGTTCGGATGTCGCCACCCAGTCAACCGTGCAGCAGGAGGGGCCGACAGCCACTGTCGGTTCCGACGGAGGCCCTGAGATCAGAACGTTGCATTGTTGCCACACGGAGCGTTTTCGCCCAGTTTCGGGCCCCAGACCATCACATCTCGACCCGCATCGAAACATGCAGCAGGACGATGGGGTCTAGGGCTCCAGCCGTGCTTCTTCGCGATGCTGTAGTTCTGTTCGCAACGTTGGACCTCAGGAAGGGGGGGAAGGCAGGGAAAGAGGGTGTTGCGAAATCAGCTGCACGCAGCAGGTTTCGGCCCATTCCTAGGCGCGTTCCTCGATACATCGGCGCCTCTCGGCGCTGGGAGGCGCCGGAAAGATCAGCTGCGTGAGCTGATTCGCCTTTCCCCTCTTTGCTAACTAGCCTTTGGGGGCCTCTGGGAGTGGGGAAGCGTTACAAGTCGCACGGTCCGGGCGGTGCCAGAAGCTTGGCCACCCGCGGGGGTGCGAAGATGATCGCGCTTCGCGCGTCGCGGTCTTGTCCACGGATCGCCAGAGTTGTTGCCCGTCTCCACGGGGGCGACGCGAGGGCGCTGGGGCAAGAAGATTTCCGCGCGTCGCGCGTCGTGGGGCGCGGTGAGCGAAGTTTGGTGGCCCAGAGAAGGCAGGAACCTGCCGTGGGCGTTTTGGCTAGGGGTCATCACGGTGTAATGGGTGGCCCAGTGATGGATGCCTGGTCAGCCTGCGCCTCCACAGGCTGGTATCCACGGGTACGGATGGCGGCAGCCGCTGTCTGCACGACGCGCATCTGCTCGATGTGTTGGATCGAGCGGGCCAAAGGATCAGTGTGCAGCCAATCGACGCGAATCCGACTGAAAGGCACGGTCAGTGAATGGCTCGGGGGAGCTCACGGTGCAGCCACCAGCACTCCAAAGCCAAGCATCCAGAAGGACGCGTGGGCAGAAGAGCGCGCGATTGGCAGCCCTTCGGGAATTACGAAAAGAGAGACGGAGCACGGAGCGCATCACGACTGTTACGAAGAACATGGAGCGTTCGTCTGTGAAGCCAAAATGCGTGCTGCGAGACAGAAGGAGGAAGGGGAAGAGGAGGAGGAGGAGGAGGAGGAGAAACAGGGGATACTGACAACCTATATTAGCTAGCCCATCGCTGCCGCTCCCCGCTTCCTGTGAGGGGCCCGTTGTCTGGGAGAGTCATCCACAATGTAGAGCATAACGTTCGCCAAGCACGGTTGACTTGAACTTGCAATCTTGATGTGCAACGCTGCTTGCTTGTCAGGTCATGTGTCAGAGAGTGGATTCGTTCTGGCCTTGTCCAGCACGGTGGCGTTGGAGACCCTGGAAATAAACGATGGCATGATAACCAATACCTTTCGGACGCGTCTGCGGTGAAAGCGTCTACTCGCTTGGGGAGCCATATATACAGAATTCAGCTAATGCAGCACCTTGCACAGAACGCAGGTGAAGTACATTTTACATGTCCTATTTCCACCTGGAGGCGTCATGAGACCACACTTCTTGCAGCTGCTTGAAGATGCCCGCTCTTTCGCTCAGCCTCCGAATCAACTCGTTCCCGGGCCGCGCCAGCGCCGAGGGACGGCCCCAAGACTGGCCAGGTGACCTCCCGTGGAACGGCCCTGTGGGAGCAGCGGGCCCTGCAGCGAGAAGCTGTGGGCTATGCCGGGGAG